AAAAAAAATTATTAAAAAAAGCAAACTGTGGGGATATTTTATATATCATTATTTTATATATTTATCTTTTAATTTCTATGCAAACTTATTTTTGTATTATTCTACTGAAAAAGTGAACAAATTAATATTTTGTATGCTTTTTTTTAATTGTTGTGGTTTGCGTATTAAATTGCTCTTACTATTTTATTTATTTATAAATATTGACAATTTTCCATAATTATAGTAATTTCATCTATTACTTCAAGAATTAAGCAGTGAGTTATATTAAATTTTTTTATTTCTTGAAACCTTTTCGAAATTTTCTTGACCTAATTATAGGTTAATTGCGAAATAAATTAATTGCCTTCAACTCTTTGAAGCAGGTTTACATATTTTAAGCTATCTAAACAAACTCCATGAAAAATTCGCAAATTCATTTTCAATTTATGTAATGCTTACCAGATTGTTATTTATTGTACTAAAGTATAATATAAACAACCTCACGGTTTGCTTAAAAAAATAAAAAAAAATAAAAAATATACAGAAAAAAATGAAAAAGAAAAAAATATATATATGTATTAAAAGAAGAAAAAAAAAAGTAAAAAAATGTATGAGAAATGTAAAAAAAATATATAAAAAAAAATGTTTAAAAAAAAAAAAATGTAAAAAAAAAAAAAAAAAAAAAAAAAAAAAAAAAAAAAAAAAAAAAAAAAAAAAAAAAAAAAAAAAAAAAAAAAATAATACAAATAAAAATATGAAAAAAAAAAAAGAAAAATATATATACATTAAAAAAAAATGAAAAAAATTATTAAAAAAAGCAAACTGTGGGGATATTTTATAGATCATTATTTTATATATTTATCTTTTAATTTGTATGCAAACTTATTTTTGTATTATTCTACTGAAAAAGTGAACAAATTAATATTTTGTATGCTTTTTTTAAATTGTTGTGGTTTGTGTATTAAATTGCTCTTACTATTCTATTTATTTATAAATATTGACAATTTTCCATAATTATAGTAATTTCATCTATTACTTCAAGAATTAAACAGTGAGTTATATAAAAAAAATTTATTTCTTGAAACCTTTTCGAAATTTTCTTGACCTAATTATAGGTTAATTGTGAAATCAATGAATTGCCTTGAACTCTTTGAATTGAAAAATTTTTTATTATTATTCATTAAAAATCTTTGTACAAGTGTTTTACACTTTTTCCCCACTATTCATTATAAAATGGGTGAGATACATTGTTTTAAGCTCAGAAATGATGAAAACTTTCAGCGCAAGAATTAAATTTTAAATGATTAACGAAATTAAGTACTCCGAACCAAAAAATTTATTTTCAATTTTGGAATATCTTTAAGCTAATAAATTTGAATCGATTAATGGAATCCTCAAAAACATTGAATCAAATGAACGATTCATCAACTGTTTCTATTCAGATCATCAACTTAATGTTTCATTCTAATCAGCAGTGCTATAAAATATTAAGAGGACGTTCTTCAAAAGTTGAACCTGTTATTTTAAATATTTACAATGAAATAAATAATAAATAACAAATAATAAATGATAATGAAATAAATAACAATNAAAGCAAACTGTGGGGATATTTTATATATCATTTTTTTATACATTTATCTTTTAATTTGTATGAAAACTTATTTTTGTATTATTCTACTGAAAAAGTGAACAAATTAATATTTTATATGCTTTTTTTAATTGTAGTGGTTTGTGTATTAAATTGCTCTTACTATTTGATTTATTTATAAATATTGAAAATTTTTCATAATTATAGTAATTTCATCTATTACTTCAAGAATTAAGCAGTGAGTTATATTAAAATTTTTTATTTCTTGAAACCTTTTCAAAATTTTCTTGACCTAATTATAGGATAATTGTGAAATAAATTAATTGCCTTCAACTCTTTGAATTGAAAAAATTTAAGTATTATGCATTAAAAATCTTTGCATAAATGTTTTACACTTTTTTCCCCAATATTCATTTTAAAATGGGTGAGATACGTTGTTTTAAGTTCGGAAATGATGAAAACCTTCAGCACAAGAATTAAATTTTAAATGATGAACGAAATTAAGTACTCCGAACCAAACAATTTATTTTCAATTTTGGAATATCTTTAAGCTAATAAATTTGAATCAATTAATGGAATCCTCAAAAACATTGAATCAAATGAACGATTCATCAACTTAATGTTTCACTCTAATCAGCAGTGCTATAAAATATTAAGAGGACGTTCTTCAAAAATTGAACCTGTTATTTTAAATATTTGCTATGAAATAAATAAAATTATTTTTAAAAGAGGGCGAAGCCATACCTCTCGTTTTACTTATCGTTCGACTTACTGGAAGCCAGAAATTATGAAATTAAGAGTATTTTTTAAAGCAGAGCGAAGCGTAATCTTTCGTTTTGAAATGTTCGTTCGATTCACAGAAAATCAATAAGATTTTTCGCACACTTTCTTAACTTATGTCCTTAAAACATAACTCGTAAGTGCAAACTTTTTTTTAAAATTATTTTGAAGATTTTGTTTAGCTTTTGCTTAGTTCTTTTTTTTTCATTGTGGTGATATTTATATTCATGCTTATATGATTGTATGTAAATGAATGACAAGCTTTATCATGATGCCTTCTTACATGAATGCCAGTTGTTCTTAGAGTAAATAAATAATAACTTAATTACTCTCTCAAGATTTCAATTAACAATCGTGTTTTATCTTTATTGCAACATTTCATCTAAAACACCAATTTACTAAAAAAAGTTAAATTTTATTTTTTAGAAAATTTGTATGTGCGAAACTTTTATGATATGCAGCAAAAACCTGAATTTTGTACAAATATTTTAATTAAAATTATAATTTCTTGTCATAGAAGATAAAATAATACAGAAATCAACAGTTAGAAACGGAAATAAAATGTTGATTAAAGAACACATTAATTGCTAAGCCATAAACAAAAATATACTAACTTGAAAGATTTTTCTTAAATTTAGCAAATTTTTGGTATTGTNTATAATTTCTTCTCATAGAAGATAAAATAATACAGAAATCAACAGTTAGAAGCGAAAATAAAATGTTGATTAAAGAACACAGTAATTGCTAAGCCATAAACAAAAATATACTAACTTGAAAGATTTTTCTTAAATTTAACAAATTTTTGGTATTGTGCATGTAGCGACCTCTAATCAAATTAATAAAGTCAACATTTATAAATGTTTCAATAGTTTTCTGTCATAGCAAAGAAACTTCTTCTACTTTTATGAAATGTTATTTGTACGAGACGACGTTAGCAGAAAATGTTTCGTCTCTTTCTGTTTATCAGCCAATGTTGTATCAGTCATTGAAAAAATTATTTTTTTGCATCTAAAGTGCAGGAAATTATTATAAAAAATAATTTTTATTACACAAACAAGTTGCGATAATCACATTTAGTAAGTTAATATTTATTAGTAGTTATTATGTACCTTTGTTATTTTTTTAAAAATAATTTTCTTCTTTAATTGATGTTTATCACTTTCTGCAAAAGGCCAATAGACTTGTTGATCTACAACATTTAGACGACCAGCTTATTTTAGTTTCAGTTTCTTTGAATTGAAATGGGCATTTTTAAGGGAAATGGAACAAATAATTAGCTGTATATACAAGTGGCATCGATGAATATTCTTTTAGAGAAACCTTTCACTCTTTATGTGAGAGTACTTTTAAAATAATGATCCATTTAACTAAGAGGGAATTTTATACCTGTCCTGTATTCCGTGTGGGGCAGGATAAGGAATCTTAACTAAATCTACTATAGAATCAGGCTGTTGTGTGTGAAACAGGAGATGATTGTTCACAGATGGTGGTTATTGGGGAATGATGGAAGAAGAAGACAAATTTCCTGAAGCTGCACTCGGCAGGTGAGATCTCTCATAATATTATATGTCTTATTTAAGTAACTGAAATTATGTTACTCTTTTAAGTCCTTCTTGACAATATTTATAAGTAAAATTACATGATTTTTCATTGTGTTTTTAAACAGATCCATTTGCCTTAATCTTCCTGAGCAAGTTCCGAAACTCGTAACTTTCTTAAACCCCCTGTCAGTCGACATACACCACATAGTTGCTGTTGCTTTCTTTGTGGAATTCTTGTCCCAGTGTTACAAGGGATGCAAGAGCTTAACTAAACCCCTCATGAACAGCCTCCTGGAAGGCTGGTGGATTCCTCTTCCATCGTACGCCTGCTGTGCATCTCTGGTCTTGGAAATATTTCAATGCTTGATAAGGAACAGGTAAGTTCTTCCGTTTAAAAAAAATATGATATAAATTATTGTATTTTCAGTAATTATAAATTATGTCGATTTCGAATACTTTCTATGCCATGCTCTACCATATGGCATGGTTATTTTATATTATAATCAATAAGGAGACAAATAAGAGAACAACATGTGCATTATAACAACAAGCTGCTGTATGTTCCTTATCATGGTGGATAAGTGGAAAAGTGTAGAGTTTAATGAAAAAAACTTTCATAACTAACAACATGTGCATTATAACAACAAGCTGCTGTATGTTCCTTATCATTCTAATTGGTATCTTTTTTACAAAGAAGAAAATTGTAAAATGTAATAAACTAATTTTCATAACATGTGCATTATAACAACTAGCTGTGCTGCTGTATAAGCCTTATCATTGTTATTAAGTAGAAAAGTGTAGAGTGCAATAAACTAAATAACTGTTGATCTCATGATTGAATTTTCATGTTTATATACAATTTTAATAATTTAAAAAACTGAAATCAATGCTTATAAATAAAAACAGCTGTTACAAAAAAAAGTTTCAGACAAATTCTGATTTCAAAATTATTTATTATCACATTTTAAACTATATCATATTCAACGACAAATAAGTTTATATGAGTAGACTAGTTTCTAAGTGTTAAAATTACAAAAGGTCCAATATTTAAATTTAAATTTTTGAAAAAATTTGGACACATTTAGATTTGTTATTTAACATGATATAGTATAAAATGATGGAAAAAAATTTCTACTTAGCAATACAGTTATTTTTCTACCATTGATAAATTAATTATTAAAAAAGTATCTATATTTATAATAAGTTAAAACTCTTTAAGATCGTTGGAATCTTATCACTTCTTTAAAGCTTTGGAATTTTTGAGTTTTATAATAGTGTTCATAATATTTTGATTTGCTTAAATTAAATTATTTCAAAAGATATGGTATAATAGGTAAAAAGTGTAATTAATATCCAGGTATACTTTTAACCAGTTTTTTTACTAACTTATTCTGACCACATTTTCCTAATTGCAGCTATTTTCTCATTCTGATAATTTAAAGAATTAAAATAAGTTCCTAAAAAATTCTATTCACTCAAAAAAAGTGTATGTTTTGTTAAGATTATCATTAGGCTATCATTAAGATTATAACTTAATTCTCACAAATTGAATCATTAGAACAAAAATTCTATTTTTATTTTGCTCTCAGTTCATTATTAACATGGTCTCAATACATAATCACATTACTATATTTGTAGATAGAGAGATACTCAACCACCATCTTGTCAGCCATGATGACAGGAATGGATGAAAGGGAAGATCCAGGATATCGCATCACACTCGAGGCAATGAGTGGCCTGTCAGCCATCCTCGCACAAGTGGCTGAGGAAGATGTCAGAAACATACTCATCAATATTGCACTAAGGATTAAACCTATGTTCGACAAGGTTTGACTCTAATATTCTAAAATCTAAATTTGTGCATCGACATTTTTCTACTTAACTATAAATCACGAAGCTATTGTTAAAGGTTTACATCAATAACTTTGATAAGAAATACATTAAAACGAATACTTAAAATTTGTGCAATTTACAAGTTATTGCTATAAAGCAGCGTTGACTCAGAGGACAGAGTGTTTGCATTCCAATTAAGTTAACCAGGTTCGAATCTCAGCGATGGCTGGTCGATACGAATTCCGCATCCGGCTCGCACCGATCACAGTGCTGGCTTGGAATATCCTCAATGGTAGACACATCATGGGTTAGAGTGCCATCAGGCTAACCGTGGGAGGTTCTTGAAGTCTTCCCCTCTATTTAACGCAAATGTGGGTTCGTTCCATCAAAAAAGTCCTCCTGGAGGGCTGATTTCTCCCAATACTTGATCCAGCAGTTTCCTTGTCTTTTTGATCGGGTTCAAAATTACAAGACCACGGAGTTGAGCATTAGTAGTTGTAAACCAAAAAAATTAGGTTAGCTGTTCGATGACAGTTATAATATAAAATAAAAAGTTATTGCTATGAGCCAAGATAGCTTTGGGAATAATGCACTTGTTGTCCACAAATTACCAACAGATTCAAATCCTATAGTAATGACTGATCAATTTTTATGTTACTTTCAGCTGCCCATTAGATGGAATGTTTCTTTCTCTAGGTAATGCAAATGCAAAAAATTTCACGTTTAAAGTGAAACTAAAAGTTTAACTCTCAAAACAAAAAGTTTCAAGTTCATATGCCAATGCTTAAATGAGGAGTTCTTTTATCTTCTAAGTCTCATTCAAATTAATTTACATGGCTCTGAAGTTGAACGTTTATGTTGTCACAAATCAGATATGGATCAGCTGTTCATCACATTTGATAAAATAAAATCGAAAGTGCTGCTGTAAACTAATTTGCAACCCACAAACTACTCTTATATGCTTTTATATCCTTGAAAACAAATTTTTAACAGTTTCAAAAATAACACAGTTTTTGAAAGGAAACTTATGTTTTTAAATGACAGTGAGGCTATGCTATTAAAAATTTAACGATACTTATCAATAATTAACTTACTATAACTTAAACTATACTATAAAAAAAAAAAAGTTGAACCATCAATTTTCCAGGCTAGTGCACATATTCTAAAATTCAAAGATAAGCTTTCATTTCAAAACAATAACAAAAATTTTATTTCTTTACATTACACATTAGGCATACATCTGCCTTCTTTGGATTCTTAAAACAATCTATGTTCTGTTAACATTATAAGAATGCCATCTAGTGGCTCTGAATGGCATTTTAATATAATATTTTTATATAAGATTTTATAATAAGATGTATAAGATGCCATCTAGTGGCTTATAATTTGTCAGATTCTACACATATTACCAACCTTAACACTATATTGAAGCAAATTTATGTTTAAAATAGTTATGAAGTTGATTGTATTGTTGCTAAGAAAATAAACTTGTAGTGAAAGGTGATCTTCAACGCAAATGTAGCGTTAATACACTCAAATCCCGATTTAGTGAAATCCGAAATAGTGTAAATTTCAATGTAACGAATATATTCTGAATCTCCGTCGAAACAATGAATTAAAAATACTGATATTATGGAATTGGTAATCCGATGTAACGAAAGTGAAGATGAGCAACGATTCTCATTTTCTCCTCTGATCAAAACACTTTTTCATTCTTCAAAAGTACACAATCAGGGTTTTTTAAAAATTTTAATGTTATATATGTATTAACTATAAATGTGTATTTATATATTATGCAAAAAATTAATTAGCAGAGTGTTAATTATGGTTAAATATTAAAAACAATTGAAATAAATTCAGAAAATAAGATTGTAAATATACCTGAAAGCTATTTTTTTTTTCAACTTAACCAACAAAGTATGCATTGAAAGGAGACAAGGAGAAAAATGCAAAGGAGAAAAATGATTTTCGTTTGTGAATGGTGCTCCACCCACCCTCTGCAGAAAAAATTCTCTTTCAGGTCTGAATGTGATGCTTGTGGTCATTTGTGACTCATGATCAGCTTTTAACATGAAAGAAATGAAATCAGATAGTAATATTACATTCTATGAATGGAAGCTCTTGGGGTGGTCAGCAGTGAGTCTTCTCTTGTCAGAAAAGATGATAAAATAAGATTTTTTTACATTATTTGAAATCCAATAATAAATGGAGAAAATAAGGTTGAAATTTGGCCAAAAAAATCGTTTTACAGGGGTTTATTGCTTCAGAGAATATCGTAATATTGAGAGGAGCATGACATTAATTCATATGCAAGTTCGTCGGGACCACGAAACATAATCACAATAAAAGGAATTATTGTTGTATCGGACATCGTAGTAGCGAAAGTTCACTGTATATTATTCCGTATATTTCAATGAATGTTATTTAATTAGATTATATTTATTCATCATTCTTTAAATCACTTCACTCCAACACCCATCCTCTACAAAATTATAAAACGTTCAAAAATAAAAGAATTAAATTTACTGTGATTCAATGAATTCATGAGAAAATATATATAACATGAAACATATGGTTGGTACGTATAGTTTGTCTGAAGTAAGAACTTCCCTAGCCATTCGTCTGAACCCCCGAGGCTATGTTTATGAGATATAACTATTTCAATTAGGGGTGTGGGGTCACTGTTTAGAGCAGGTTTTGGCCCAGATCGGCGAGAGAAAAGGAATCTTTTTCTTCGGTCTATTGAGAGTGAAGAGAAGGAATGAAATGTGTTATTCTAGTTTCCATAGCCTCAAACTTTGTGGTGGGAGGAGTTCTTACCGTAGACAAACTATATTTTATGTGTCATTATGCAAGACTTTTCATATTCAGACATTTCTGTTTATTCTTTTTATTTATTCCGTCACCTTTAAATGCTTTTGTGTGCTGTTATTAATATATTAAAATGCATTACAGGAAAAACCTTTAGTCAGATCTGCAGCGTTTACTCTTTTTGGTAATTTGTCCAAATTTGCGAATGGTCCTTCAAAAGAACAGTTTGTGGTTCAGGTGCAGGGAAATTTTGTCATTTTCATGCTTCACTTAAATGACGAAGAAAAAAATTTTATTAAGGTAAATATATATTCCCTCGTTGAATATAAATAATTGATAAACATTATTTTTTTCACTCAATGTTATCTATGGGTTAATGAGTTTTATAACTGTTTTTTAAAAAATATCTGCACATTCTGAATGCTTTGAAAAACAGTATCTGTGTTTTTAATCAACAAAATATTTTTATTGTCTTTATATTCTATAACTTAATGATTAGTGCTAATAACTAGCTTGTTTTTTAAGCGTGGTCTAGGAGTCACAGTACCCTTGCAACATTTCTTTTAAATAAAGGTATAATCATTCATTTTGGGGATGCTTTACATGCTCATTTAACTTATAGTCAATCATTTATCTTCAAAAAAATAGTTAAACTGTTTAATTTTTCTAAAATTTAAAAAAAAAAAAGATAAAATTCACTATTTTTAAATCCATAAGGTTTTTTTATTTTAACATATTTTCAAAAAATTTTTTTTTACTTAGTGCTTACAATATTCATCTTAACAATTGATTACAATACAATACAGTGCTTACAATATTCATCTTAACAACATTCATTTGTTGATCTATCAATTAAAACATTTTTTATAAATTTTTTTGTAAAAAAGTTTAAAAAAAAAAAAAGGTTAAAAATTCCTGTTAGGTATATATAACATGCTGAAAAAATTATAATACCTCTTAAAATGCTTATTCCATGCACAGATTAAATATATGTATTATACTTAAGATAAAAAAAGTTTACTTCAAAACTTTATCTAAAATAGAAAAAATTCCTTAAAGATTTAATTAAGATTAAGACATATAATTATCATCTATTAGAAAAGGCACTTTAAAGTCTGTCTTCTGAACAAGTTTCTGTTTTAGGGCAATCTAAAATCTTTCATAACTTTTTAAAAAATGTAGATAGAGGATTTTTTTCGGTTCATTTGAAATAGTTTGAAGTTTTGTTATAAGCAATAAAAAATATCGATATTTTGGAAATTTTTTGTGTACTGTAATCCCTTAAACCCTGGAAATTCCAACTATGTACATAGAAGATCATTAATTTGGAGGTTACTAAGGGTATATTTTTTTTTAAACTTTGGGTTGGTTTAAGTTTTTTTTTTAAAACTAATTAAAGTTTTTTTTAAAAATTAACTACTAATCAACTCGATTAGTAGTTAATTTTAATTAGTGATTAAAAGTACTAATTTAAAGTTAATATTTAAAGAAAATTTATATGTTTCCATGGTATGAAAAGGTAACTATATTTTGGCAACACGTTGTAAAAAAATTAGTTTTAAATTTTTTGTGTCACTTTAGAAATATTTAGCTAATTTCTCTAGCATATAGTCTATTGAGCTTACATGTTTTGACCTGTAATAAAAACAGAATAATTTTAAAAATTTATAAATTACCATTACTAAATAGAATAAGATCCATAATGGACTGATCTTTAATTCAAAGTTCCCAGCAGATCACCGAAATCAAGCATCAATGGCTACGTTGGGTGACCTCTTAGATTAGCCTACGAAAATGACTGAGGGTGTGCAGTATCGGCCCTCATTAAATTATTCTATTTTAAAGTACTCGACTTCAGGCACAGGACATCTGGTTATCAAAGAGAAAAAGTCATGTTCTTTGCACACTATCAGTATTGTGATAGCATATATGCATCCTCAGGGATATTTCTATTGCCAATAGCACATTGTGCAGCTCTAATGCTAATAGTAAATTATCTTTCAAGCTCTATTATTAAGACTAAATACATGGTATCCGCACATCTGAAAAATCATGGAAAGTTATGGACAAAATTTTGTATTGAAAAATTTGTCATGAAATGCCATAATTTTAACTATTTTTTTTTTGAAAAACATCATGGATTTAGGTCGCAGACAAATCTCATTTTTAAAATGGAATTTACCTCCCCAATTTCACAATTTTTCAAATATCTGAATTTGTTACAAAATCCCCACTCACAGTCGCATTTTATTAAAATGTAAAATGTTCTTATGGGGCTTTTTAAAAATTGTATTGTTCTTTCCAAAAATGAGCGAAAGAACATCATTTATAGAGCTAATTATATTTTAAACTTTTGTGATTTCAGAATGTTTGTTATTATTTATTTTTATTTTATCAATTTAAAATTCTAGCTGAAGCAAGCCAGTCATTGGCGAATTTTTTTTCATTCCCAAATGAGAACAGAAAAATCAGAGAATTTCTTTCTTTACCGATGAACAAAAAAAGTATCTTTAGACTATAATTCTGCAGGGAAAATAAACGTCTTAAAAATTTTGCAGAAAAGGAAACAAAAATTTTTAACTTCCCAAAAGAAAAATCTTTTTTCTTTTCTGCAAGAATTCAATAGTGCTCTACGACAATGTCGTCATTTTGCCCGTGATTTTGTCAGGGGGCTTTTAGAGTGGTTAGCAATGCTATACAGTGGTGAAAGGCTGGTGCTACGTGCTTGAGCAG